ATTCTAGTTCTACCCCCCTCTTGATAGACGTACCAATCTTCAATTTGACCTGCATTCAAAATCAACACCTGTACAACAATTGGTCTTGTATTTTCTGAACTGTCCTATTATAACTATCTTGAACGCTTCAACAAAGATAATATTGATAAATTTATCGAGAGCTAGAGGATAAATTTAAAATACAACACCGTTCACGACTTCTAATAGAATCTTGGTTGTAAAAGCTGAAACGACTTGTGTCCTTTTTGGAATTACGAAGTAGAGCTGCTTTACATTCAGTGATTTTGTATTTTGTTATTAGATTTTATTATCAATAATAAATAAGTATTTTCATTAGCATAAAAATGTTCAAGTTAACAATAATTTTGAGTTCAGTTTTGGATGTTACAAACTAGAAAATCAATTATTAAGGTTATAATTATAACTTAATAATAACATTCATATTCGGAAAAAATATTTGAACGAATTCAATATTTATAATGTACAACAATAACACAAATATATACGTAATAACATTGAATAATAAATTGATAAGATTCTGAGACCAATTGAATTTTAGTCGTCTGCTGATTGTGATCCCATCCCAGTTGTTGTATATTATCAGCGATTCTTGCAATCACTAGGTTAAAATGATAAGTCATTTTATTATTTTGACTGTACATATTTGTAATGACGATGATAACTAAAGAAATATTTACATTATTACTTATGTTTCATTAGGCGAGTAACACGGTGACTCAGTACGTCAACTCTGTGACTGGATTTTATTTACGTGGCATTCCCGCAGAATCGCCCAAATGGATAACACAATATCATGTTTATGAGAGAATAATGAATTAATATTTTGTCTGCAAGTATGATATCGGTGAGTTAGGTAGATTGATTCGACTATGTCAACCTTTAATCAGAGTCAGATGTAATGTACTGCAAAAAGTGGTACCGTGATAACGAGCCCGATCGTTTGTATTGCTCTATATTCAAGTGAAAAAGTGGTCAAGACAAATCCTATTTCGTAAAATATCGGCATACTGGCATGATATCCCACTTATAAAGCTAAAGGGGAATACCTTGCCACCAAGTCGCAATAGTTTCTGCAGTTATGCCTAACAAGAGCTAACACGACTGATTACACACGGTTTGAAGACATCCCTTGATGAGGGTTAGGTCAAGATAAATCATGCTTTGTTCACTATTGGCTAAATAAGCTGTAACTCCCATCAAAGTCATACTTTTATGGAAGTACATTCCGAGGTAGCATAATGTAAAAAAGTCGGGATTTCCTTGCCATCAGGTCGTAAATCGTTTCTGCAGTTCTGTCTTATACGATCCAACGGGACTACAGCTGGTTTGAAGATTTCTTACACAAGGATTGAAGTAGAAATTTTTCGTAAGATTGTCCCATAAAAGCCAGCTGAGACTTTACGATATTTGAGATTAAAAAAATCCGGGTTCTTACTATATTTACTAAGTCATTCTCAATCCAAGTCATTTTCTTACCAAAGTCAAGTTCTAGGTAGCATACTGTAAAACCATGTCAGGATTACTTTGCCATGAAATCGTAAATCGTATCTTCATCAATTCGTAAGGTAGTCCTCTAAATGCCAAGGGGGTATAAGTGGTTTGAAGACTCCCTTGAATGCGTTTGAGAGTAGAAATCCAGTTTCTCACCTATCTGATACGTAGATTATAGCATCTGCCCAAGTCAACTCTTATCAACGTACGTTCTGAGCTAGTAAACAGTTAACAAAATGGATGTGCCTTTTGTATTGCTCTGTCAAATAAGGGTAACAGATAAACACCTGGTTTAATGACTTCTCTTGAAGAGGTTTGAGGTGAGAAATCGTGTTTTTTACCAGGTAGGTTATACGATCCATCCAAGGTACGTTCTGTAGTACTGTTACCAAGGTACAGTCTCAGCTGGCATCTGTAAAAAATAGTCGGGATGACCTTGCCAGCGGGTTGCAAATCATTTTTAAACTCAGTCCTATAGAATACGGGTGTACAGCTGGTTTAAAAACTTCTTAGGTTAGGTTTAAAATGAAAAATTCTCATAAATCATTCGTATGGTTGTCCTTTAAAAGCCAGGTTGAAGACTATCCTTGCAAAAATTTGTCTCTTTCTTACCCTATTTAACGGTAGGTTATTCAATTCGTCCAAGTCATCATACGCTTACCAACGTCCAGTCTGAACTGACGAACTGTTAAAAAATGAAAGTACCTTGTGAAGTCATAAAACCTTTGTATGGCTCTGGTTTGGAGACTACCCTTGAACAAGTTCGAGATGAGAAATTTTTTTCTTCCCTTATTTATCGTGATGATCGGTAAAATAGTCGTAATAGACCTTGCCATAGGTCGTAAATCGGTCGTATGGTTGTCGTATAAAAGCCAATGGGATTACAGGTTTATGTTATAAGATTCATAGAAATTAAACTCTTCCCAACGTACAGTCTGAGTATGGCGTCAACTCGCTATATATGTAAAAGAATGGATCCAAGCACGCTAGATTGAGATACGCATACGATTAAATTGGCAGCTAACGCTGTGTATCATTCACTAAGGATATCCTTCCACACAAAACTGACAGTCGGTAGAGTTCAGCACACGATTTTTTTAGCAGGGTCACTGGTGACTATAGTTTACTACTTAAGAGCTGTTATGGAACAGACCCCTTTTTTATTTGAAAATGCACCTTTGTAGTTGATTGCATACAGGTTTCGCTTTGCTAACGTTCTTTTTAGTGTCGACTTTCCGAAGTGGCTTTACGATTCCCAGCGTAATTCTTTGCAGTCAAATAAGACACGTTTCGATGCCTCTGCTTTCATGGCAGGTTTCTCTCTCAGTTTTTCCTAATTTACTAAGATGGGATGTACAAGATATAAATGAGGAAAGACTTGTAAAAAAGATGATAATGAACTCCTTTGGTTTTTTGCACCTGGTGAATTTATGCAGCGTATGACCATTTTGATTTGGGGCTTGACAATTGGGAGTTGCGAGGTTTTTCTGAATTTGTTAGTTTGTCAGCCTGTTTGTTTCCTTAAATCCTCTGTCCTGTCCTCCACATCAGAGCTACTTGATTTCTGGATTATAAAATTTTTCCAAAGTTTGTTGACACTCAAAATAAAAATTACTTAGTTTTTATAATCCATATGAGAAATATATAACAAAATGAGAAGCAAGAAATAATTAGCTGATTTTGTTTTCACAGGAGTTGGCGATCAATGTTAGACCCACTTCCATTCCCAAACCAGCATTGATTTGAAAGTCAAGGGGTCTAACGACTTCATTGCTGCTGGGTGATCGTAGAATACGTTTGTCTGCGTTCCAAGAAAGGCCACAAAATATACAAATAAGAGCAATAATGAGAAATAGGTCCAGAATGATTAGGCCATAAGTTTGAAAACGAAAGGATATCCGTCCCAAATGGAAAATGACACAGCGTCTGTTCTCCTGCAGTAAGGCCATAAGTTTCACTCGTAGACTCCACGACCTCGCTCTTTTAGACCATTTATCTGTCTAAGCTCTTGCAAATACAAAAAAGATTGAAGAAAAACTGGTTGGGTCAAGTTTTACCTCTACTCTGAAAACTTTGGTGTTTTCGTAAAAAAGACACATAGGTGTTCAAGTAATTTTGCTTTGAAAGTTCTACCCTCGTTAATACCATTACACTAATAGCAATTGCATACATAACTAAAATAGTTAACTAATGGCACTTTTAGAAAAGGAGGATCACATGGTGGGTTTTGCTTTAAGAGATTGTAAAATCTTTTATTAACTTTAGTTACAAAAATAAATGTAGCACTCTAAGTTAAAACATAATTTTTCACACAGTTGTAATCAAGTGCCCCACCCATTTTAAGTACATCCAGGCCACTTTAATCCGCCTCTTCATATTCATGGCGAAAGGTAAAATTGAAGTAGATTTTTAGTGAACGTTTAACTTTGCTGAGGCAGATTTGTCTAAAACTAATTAAGGTTTTTAGTTGAGATAAAAAAGTCAGTGTCACGAGCTGGATTCGAACCCACGACCTTCGGCTAGATACGCCGTTACTCTACCTCTTGAGCTATCGTGACTTCGATCCACTCGTACACTAACTTCCCATCTCAACCCCAACTTTTTGAATTTTTTGAAAAATAACAAAAAGGAGGGAAAACTCAAAAAGCTGGGGTTGAGATGGGAAGTTAGTGTCCGAGTGGATCGAAGTCACAATAGCTCAAGTGGTAGAGTAGCGGCGTATCTAGCCGAAGGTAGTGGGTTCGAATCCCGCTCGTGACACAGACTTTTTTATCTCAACTAAAAACCTTAATTAATTGTAATATATTAATTGGTCAAGCGGACCACGAAATTAGTGAATTTAATGAATTTAAATGAAGTATACTTCACTAAAGCTCTCAATGGCCATTTCATTTGTCGCCGAGAATCCAATCCGATTACACATTTGAAAAATGGCAAAAAGTAGGGAAAATTCAAAAGGTGCGGTTGAGATGGGAAGTTGGTGTCCGAGTGGATCGAAGTCACGATAGCTCAAGAGGTAGAGCAGCGGCGTATCTAGCCGAAGATCGTGGGTTCGAATCCCGCTCGTGACAATGACTTTTTTATCTCAACTAAAAACCTTAATTAATTGAAAGATATTCACTGGTCAAGCGGACCCCGAAAACTAGTGAATTTGTCTAAAACGTATTACACTGCGAGACAAGCTCATTGATTTTATCAACTTTACTAAATTTTGAGACTTGTTTGCCTGCCGCCGAATGTGGAAAAATGAAAATATAGTGATGTCAATGCTGCAGACATTTTTCTCATTTCCTCCAAATTAGTTGTTATATTGATTTAAAACTAGTATTTGTTAAATAAAATCGAATTCGCTTGACCAAATCCCTGGACCCAAATTTATTTTACCCTATTCCCCTCCTCGTAACACGGATAAAGGGAGGAAAAGGAAATAGCAATCCAGAGAGCTAAGCCTGTATGACGTTCCTTCGTTTAAGGAGGGGGCCGACAGCCTAGTTGTCAGTTTGGCTTATTGCTAGTTGGATGTATTTAAGCGACGTTGTTTGTCGATGGTGCCTCCATCACCTCTTGTTTTTCAAGATTTAAACGTGTACAACTCGACTGGTGACTGTTTCTCAACACGTTGACACGATGTAACGACGTAAGTTTCGATCCATTTAGCACATCCCATTCTGCCAGGAAGAACAAAAAGAAATTAAATCAATACATTTAAATTCGTTCTTCAACTGGTTTTTTTAAACATCTGTTTTTATCAAATTATAATACATCTAAAGAATATTTAAAATGTAATGAAATTAACAAAGTGGTCAGGAAAAATATTTAAAAATGTCAACTAATTCAACTGAACAAATGAAATTGGAAACCAAAATGAATAAACATGATTTTCACATAATATAAATAAACATCATTTTCACATATATTATGGTTTATATATGGCATTTTATTATAAGAGTTTAGACTTATTTTGAAATCTAATACAAAGGTAATTTCTGTTATATGAGAAGGAATTATTGATTAAAACAAATGGTTTCTTATTTCTTTTTGAAAACGATAATTAAATATTTTATTGCTTTAATTAGTTTTTATCTTACTTACATTAAATTATATTTCTTTAAATAGATCGACATACTGTTAAATATTAGTTATTTTTTATTGTTATTTTTTTAATTTTATTTTCTTTTTTTGTACTGAAACAAATACTTTATCAGCATAATCGTAACAAATTTTCTTAAAGATTATTTCAAAGATGACTCAGCACCGTGCAATTCTGTTTCAAGATTACTTTAAAAATGTTGTAAACGTAATTACACGCCTGATCAATCTTAAATCAAATCTATTTAACTAGAAACGATTTTGACAGATTTGAAAAATAAAGAAGCGGAGGCTGAACGGAAGAGACAAAAACAGTGTCACTTAAAACTGAAAATAAAAATTAGCACTAATGAAATTTTACAAAAAAATTTTGTCTAGCAAGTGAACCCACGTTGAAATTGTAAATTTTTCTGATCATCATTAGATTAAAAGTGTTTCCAAAAGAAGGCAACCAGTGGAAAATGAACCGGTAATGTGGAGATCAACTAAAACAACCAAGGGTTATTCTTAATTGTCAACAGTTACCTTGTTTTCTATAATCTGTAAAGAATTATTATGTAATATTACGTAGCTTATAACTGCCTACATATTTAGTTTTATCATAGGCCTAGGACATTAAATTATACCACTTAGTCTCAATTTTTTTTTAAATTATTAATTATTAATTTATTACGCATTTTAGATATGTATAACTTGTGGAAATAAATATTACTGAAATATTCCATTGAATTTACGTCTTTTGTATAGACGTAAAATCTTATGATTAAATCTACTTAAATTTCATGCTAATTTTGGCGTAATAATTTAGAAATAAAAGGATCTAAGCATCTCTCAAAGCCTTTTCTTTATTAATGTATTAACTATATTACTTAATTTACTGAAGAAGTTATTATTAAAAGGAAATGCTTTCCTTCCCAATTAAACATAAAGATCTTTTATTTGTCTACCAGGTTTTTACACGAATCGCTAAAAATATCTACGCAGAGATCTAGCAAGATCGTATCAATTGGTTCGCAGGGTCGCACTAACTTTGTGAGGGAATCACCTTTTGAATTTGACTGGCACTTAGTTAATGTAAAATTTATTATAGCTTAAATAACATTTCACACACGTTTTATAACGTACATTTTTTTTTCCATTCTGGTCTGACCTAATGTCCCTTTGCTTCAAATAAATACCATCATAAGAATTTTTATATATGATATATATCTTTAACAATAAAATAAACAATATAATCATCAAATATTACGTAACATTTGATACATTTATTAATTTCTGCCACAATGTGAAATGATAAATGAAAAAAGTTTTCTTCTCATGTTCACAATAGCACTAAAGGGCAGACAAGACCCAAAATATAGTAAAGTTTTTGTTTTTTGTTAATTGCTTAAAATTGCAATCAGGCTTTTCTGCATCTTATATGTTTCAAACAACAAAGAATCCAAGCTCTGACAGTAATTTTTTTTTTATTATTGAAATTAGCTTCCATAGCTTTGGAAAAAGGGAGTACAATTAGATCAACCGTTTTGACATTTTCGCATTCTTTTTACTTCTTTTACCTGCAAAAATCTTCTTAGAGAAAATTAAAAACGTCCAAACAATTTGTTTTATTCGTAATTTATTTTTAGATCCATCTAGCACATTAAGAAAGCTCACTTTCGCCTTTCTTGTACATACAGACCCTCTTAATTTATTTTTTTGCGTTGGTGTTCGCTTTTCGTGCTTTTTGGCCGTCTGTTAGCTAAATATTTGTGCCTAACTTATTCACTTTTTGAAAGCGACAAGAAATAACTTGTCGGGTTCGATTGCCCGTCATTGGGAAATCTGGTTAAATTTTCTATTGCATGCAATTGCAAACAATTGAGCTTGAAAAGCTACTAGTGAGGTTCTACCGTGTTTACCATAGTTACTCATTGCCTAAAACATCAAATAAAACGGTTGAAACTTATAAACTGATTTCCATATTGAATTGTTAAAATCATTACGTAGATGGTTTAGAAAAGTTCATTCAGTTCAACTTATAAAATAAAAAATCGATTTTTCAAAATCATTTCATTTTTTACCAACCATAACTATTTGTCGCGAATCCGCTTACACGCTCTTACGTTTCATTTAAATTGATAAAATATTTTTGTAAAATTGTAAAATTTGAAGAGGTTTTTCTAACGTAGATAATGTTCTTCCTGTCTGCCCTAACGAATTTTGTGACAAATAATTTATAAACCATGTACATACATCAATGAGAGCAATGATGTATAAAAGTGTATTTTTCTGGTTCCTCACTATATTAGAATATCCCAATATCTACTTGTCCTGTGTTTTTTCCTTTTCCGGGTAAACAGGTGACTTTAGTCTCCTTTTCCTTTTTTTAGATGTAACTTTCTTTATTTCCATACCCTGGCAAGTCTAGCTTTTTGGTAGTTGAGGACTTTCCAGGATTCTCTTCATTAATTTCTCTAGCTGTTAGACATGATAATGCTTTGCAGTGACATAGAACGTGTTCCGATGTCTCTGGGTTTACCGAGTCAGAATGATGTCTAAGTCAGTTTTTTCCATTATTAAGATGATAATTGAAGGTGCAATGGACCGTACAAAAGCAGATTTCCCCTAATTCATACCTGCTGAGTTAGAGGTAAATTTTTGTTTTCATGGTTGAGATGTTGAACAACCCAATTGTTTTGCATATGGAGAATTCATCCAGAGTATAGTCATTTTTTCTCTCTATCTATTTGTCTAGTACTAGCAGGGTTTCGAGGAGTACCGTTTTGCGGTTCTGGTTCAATGACTGTGAGGCCCCTGCTTTTTTGCGAGTAAGTCAGCCTGTTCGTTGTCTTACATATACCCAATCTTCTAGCAACTTTTTATTCTTTTATAAGTATTTCTCGTGCGCAGATTTTTATTGCATGAATCTTCTTATCAGCTTACCTAATTGGGTTTAGGACCTAGAGGTTTTGCTATGTCAAAATTTTTGTCTCTTGCCCCCACTCAAAGTTCCATTTTAGATTTGTGTACTATAATAAGGACCCTTTATTAGCGGCATGGCTTTAATCATCAAAATATTTCTTATTATTCTTATTTTGAATGCTCTGTCAAAGTTGTAAAACTTTTTAAAAATTGTAAAACACAACTTTATTTGGTCAACCATTGTTGTACCCACCTCATTTTTTACGATTTTATTTTGGCTTTCTCTTAGGTCAGGTTTTATTTCATTGTATTCCGGTTTTATTTAAGGTGGCAAATTTAATGCCGCTTCATTTGCTGATGTTTGACAAGTATGCGTTGTCTCAGTGATATTAAGTCATACCAATCTTTATAATAGATATTATGTCTTCTTTCCCAAAGCCTTTTATTTGATCCAGATATAAATCATATGACTCCAGGTTTGACGTTCCAAGCATCATGCTGAATTATCAAGTAAATTGAGGTGTATATTCTGATGAAAATTATCGTGTAATTTTAATTGAGAAGGATCTAGGAAGAACAGCGTTCCTGCTGCTTTCAGAAGCCTACCTTGCAAGTCTGCCAACTATTTAATTTGCAAAAATATCTTTAATTTTCTATGTGACTTAAAATCCCTTTGTCATTTGGTTTTTTTTCTCTTTTTCCCTCTGGAACGCAAGCACTGTCCGACATTATTATGAAATAAAGCACAGCTTAGAGAAGCTAATTTTCCCTCTCCCTTGTAATAGATAAAGCACGACTGCCATGTAATATATCAATCTCGATAAATACAATTTATCTACCTTATGTACCGAATTTATAAAACACGTGTTATCTCTTTAATGGTCTTGGCTATTAGCTCACTGTTCGTTTTTAGCTATATTCTCTGCTGGTTTCCTTTAGCCTAACCTACCCATGTTTTTTTATCCGGTCAAGAGCTTCAAATATTTGTTATTATTGTATCCTGATGGTTTTTACTGTACATAGTGCAAAATAATTCCTTCGGTAAATATGACAAACGCATGCCCAACCGAATTCCTGCTTCTACGAGCATGTTTTTTCTGTTGTCAGGTGAATAATTTTGTTCTTTGTTTTTGTTGGATTATGAGGGCGATGGTGGGAATTGAACCAACGACCGCTGGGGCTACGTGTGGACAGTCTACCAGGCTACTCACTTGGCCACCGCGGTCCCCATATTATAAATTGAATACCATCAATATGTTACCTTACCATAGTCGTTGTATCGATACAACCATGATATAAAAACGATTTATTTGAAAACCTGTTTGTAATTGCCGCTAAAACAATGTCTGCCCAATTTAAAAGGGAGATAATCGATCATCCCTAACACTTAATGTATACAAATTATATGCTAAAATACCCCTACCCCATACCATAACCCTATCCTGCACGATTACAAATTAAATTGTACCACTTGGGCCGGGGGTTTTGAAGAAATATTTCAGACTGGCGGAATGGAAATTTGTTATGCAACTGTTAGTCAGACGGAATGCCCAAATACGCCAACGAAGCAGACAGATCTCAAGGGGAGATATAGCAGAAAAGGCAGTCAGTATGCTGATGGGCCTTCAGCTTTAACCATCGCAGTATTTACCACAAGGCTCGAACCTTTATAACCGCCTCCTTCCGACTTTAAAGGGCCTAATTCGGTCCTCCCCTAATCTCTCATTAAGCCGAGAGACAAAAAAGGAATTGTTCTTACATCAAAGCTATTTCTAGGCGTTTAGTTTGAGTCTTGCTGCGTTCTTTCTTTCGTTCATTCTTCTGTTTTTAATTTCATATACTACTAATTTTCATTACAAAAGACTTTTTCAAAAACGCTCTAAATAGGTCACATTTTATCCGTCAAACCATTCCCAAAATTTCAGGTTTTTAAACGTTTTCATTATAAACTAGTTTTTTTTAAACATTATGTATGTACAGCGATTGTACAGTTGTGACAATGTTTTTTGTGTGTGATATTTGGACCTGCATCTGCATAGAAGATGCAACAAACCAATGATATTCAAATTAGTTTAAAAAATTAATAACAGCGCACAAAAGCTATATCTATGCAATACACATACAAAAACAGGTACATACATGCATACATATGTGTAATAGTAAAAAACTAATAGCATGGTGAATGGTGGGAAAGGTAAATGTCCAATGACGGTCTAACCTAGTAATTATTATGTCCATTTATAATGGTTATTATGTAGGTCCTGTTGTCTTAAATGACAGGTTGACCCGGCTTGATTTCATAAGGAGCATATTTGCTGGACAAGTGCGACTTTTGGAGTTATGGAATTTTACGTACGAGGAGGATCTTAAAATCCCTTTGTCATTTGGTTTTTTTTTCTCTTTTTCCCCCTGGAACGCAAGCACTGTCCGACATTATTATGAAACAAAGCACAGCTTAGAGAAGCTAATTTTCCCTCCCCCTAAAGAGAATTTAGGCAGCGGTGACTGAATTCTTTTTGAATTAAAGCGTTTGGTTGAGCCCCACAGTACTATGCTGTAAGCCCAGTCTTCAGGTAGATGGAACTTCTGTCTTATAAATTAACAGTTTGTTCGTTTTGAAAGTTTCCATCGTTCAGAATGTGTACTCAAAAGGCCTTAGACATAGTAAACTCATGATAAAGGAACCCTTAACTGGCAAATACATTACTCCAGTTATACAGGGTAAAGCTCGCGGGAGTGGTAGGGCTGTATAGCGGTCACTGGCATCTGAGGAAAAACATACACAACATGGGTTATATTCGATGATGTCCCCAATTGTAGCCTATGCTAGAAGAAACCGCATCCCATATTATCTTCAAATTCAAAGCATCTGCTCAATACAGTTATAACCGAGGGACCGACTAGACGCAGGAAAACCAATTACGGCAATTGTAGTCAATGAGGTACAACTTGAAAGAAAGATCGTTTTAATTGAATTGAACCAAGGAACTAGGAAAAGTACAGTAAGCTGCAAAGCTTGGGAAATATCAAATCTCACGTTCCTAGCATGCTTTTCATCATCATCGAGTATAAAAAGTGTGTATGGTTTGCTATGTCCTGCCTGGTCAGGCTAGGGGGGGGGGGTTGCATGTCAGCCTTTTATAGAGTAACACGCCTAGCTATTTGGTGGTCGACGTCTACGTTATTAAGTAGAGTAAGGGACATGTTACACGGCAAAGGTAAAGGTTATTTAGATAAATTTATTTATTATTAATTTTTATTCGTCATCATTTCGCCATTGTTGGATATCGACAGTGCGTACTTATATCGGAGAGGACTTAGGATTTTATCTTGCGGTATTGCAGCTCCGCCGGAGGAAGGAAAGATCTGCACCTTGTTGAGGGGGAGGAGTGTCAGACTCGATCTTGCGTCAAGCCAAAAATAGATCGGGGGCTTGTCTTAAGACTGGAAGAGATGAAGTCTACAATTCTGTGGTGTGAACGCAATCCAAATTGGAGGTTTGGTATTGAAGAGTTGTAGAATGGGAAAGACGCGCTAATAATTAATAATAAAAATTAATAATAAATCTAAAATTCGTTAAGTAAGATTCTTGGATTCATTGTAATTACTGAACTTGAATACTATAGGTTGTATCCTAGGGTTTTTCTTTCAGGGAACACGACCTATGTCAGTTCTTTAGAGTTCCTACTCTTTCCTCGCTTTTTGCACTAGATAATGTGTTACCAATAAATGCTTAAAGGATAAGTAATTAAAAATATATATACAATGTATAGAAGCAGTGCTACTTCGTAGAAGTATCTAGAGTGTCTTAAGATCTTGCGTTCTAGTCTCTATTCGCTGGAAACAAAGTATTTAAGTCGATTACATTTTTTTAATATGGTAGTCATTCTTGTACACATTCCAGCTGCAATATTATATTGTAACTATTAATTTGTTATTTTATCAAAAATCTTGAAAAGTGTTGCCACATTGTTTTAGCAATACTACCTCTTTCAGATATGCACAAAACCGGGTATCTCAATTGTAGACTAGCGATGAGTTAAAATACTCAGAAAAAATTTTGATAGGATATGATAAATTTTTAAGTAGCGGAAATGCTTGATTGGTTTATTTTTACTTAGAAAATTAGATGTTTCCTGGTTCTGAACTTGAAATTCGATTTAGATAAATCATTACTTCTCATTTATAAGTAATAATTCGATTAATAGAAATAATTTTAATAATTGTTTTAATTTAATGTCATTTAGGTCTTCATTAAATGTTTGGTTACAACTCAAATTTGTCAGTATGAGAATAATTTTGATGGTTTGTATTTTCTTGCAGGAAATATTTCTTTGGAGGAAAATCTGATAACTGTAGTAAAAGGAAAAATATGATGTTAAGCGGAAGAAACATATTTCTCGCTGCTTTTGGGCTGATTGCCGTCAGCATATCGGCATATGTACGTCCTTTGATCTGTATTTAACCGAATGGCTTTGTAACAAAAATCGTTTATGCAGGCAGTCTGGTCGGTGTGGAACGGCAACAACCTGACGATCCTCGAGATGAGAACGGAATTTGCAAAAGAGAAAGACAGGTATAAGACTTTCAACGGGCTTTCCACGCTTTCAATCGCCCGGATGAACGAGGTGAAGATGGACATCGCCTATGGGCTCGGTGTGAACAAAGAAGCCGCCTTGAAGCGCATCGACAAGTTGAATGAAGACTTCCCGGATGATTACGCGCTTTGCCCAAACAAGCCGAACCATTCGACGGTCACTGTTATGATAAGTGAAATTCAAAATTTCTACGATGAAATTTACAGGGTCAACGCCCTGAATATAACGTCCCTTTTAGCGGAATACGCCAAGGATTTAAAAAGAGGCGAAGAAGAGTTCGAGTCCATGGCAGGTGACTGCAAGCCCAACATTTTCTACTTCAACTGCATCTTGCAGCTCAACGACCTTTTCCGTGAAGAGATCGACGGCTTGGTCGCATCAAGGGACAACATTTCGGAAATCATCCATAATCTCAACGATCTTTTGAAAACAGCACTGGAAACCTCCCTCGGGAGCAGCCTGGGACTTTTGGACAAAATCAGGGACGTGATTAAACGATACGTATGCTGTCTGAAAAACCTGAAAATATTTCTGGACACTCATGAACCGGACTGTGACGAACCCGGCTTGACGACAGACTATTAAAACTCGGGCAATAACTGTGTGATAATCATTAACCGAGTTATTTATCGTTTAAAATTTATCTGTGTAACATATTTAAAACTATATTTGTTTCTTTTATACATTCTTTTATACTAAATTAGCACCATGATTATGAAATGACTTAATATATTATATATATTTATATATATCAATTTATTTGAAAAAACATAATTGTACAATACAATTGTTTAAAACATTTACACTTTCTTTGATAGCAATAACGCTATTCCATGGACCACCCTACACACTAACTTAACTTATTAACTTTTGCTTGCAAATTCCTATTGTATTCCAAAGCTCCTCCCTGGTCCGCATATTCACGCTTCAACAACTTTTATTAGCCATTCAACAAAACATCAAAGTATAAAATCTTGCTATATAAATTTTGAAAGGTTATTTTGAAAGGTTTTACATTTCGATTATATACAGTAGCATTTAAAATCGGACGATGAAACATAAAAAAATATATCAATCGGACAATCTTTATTCAACAACTCCTAGTTCAGCGTTAAGTTTTAGTTCCTTTATATTTAGTGGTCTGCTGACCAAATTACTTCTTTCAATTGCTTAATCCTTTTATGAAAGGTTTTGGTTCAAATGAAAAAGCTAGTGCCACTAGCGGGATGAAAAACGGCAAAAAGGAGGGAAAATTCGAAAGTTTGTAGGTTGAGATGGGGAGTTGGTGTCCGAGTGGATCGAAGTCACGATAGCTCAAGTGGTAGAGCAGCGGCGCATTTTTGCCGAATGGGTCGTTGGTTCGAATCCCGCTCGTGCTAGCTTTTTCATTTGTATCAAAACCTTTCATAAAAGGATTAATTAATTGAAAGAAGTTAAGTTTTAGTTTAAGATATCTTGCCACAATTATGCAACACACTTTGTTTAATAATTTAAAGTAACTTAATTTTTACTTATGTAATAGTATTTAAAGTCCAGCATTGAAGAACTGTTAACGTTATATAGGATAACGGTAACCAAAAAATTGAGATCACTCGATTTGATTTAATGAACATAAACTTTTTAATGAATATAATATTTAGCATCTACTATATATGCATATATCATAATAGAATAGAATAGAATAGAAATGCTTTTTATTTCTTTTCCTCAAAATAACAACTGAACTGTACAAAAAGCATATACACATTTGAGATATCACCTGTCTGCGGAAGTTGGCAATAATATGTATATGAACGTATATGTGTATATAAATATGCATATAATGTATATAAGGGGCATTGAATCCTATATTAAATCGACTACAGAAAAAATAATACAATAAACATGCGTACATATATAAACAATTTCTCAAAATGTAACAAATAAATTAGTATAATATATGTCCATAGACCATTTATAGCACATAACAACTATTAATTAATATATAAATATTGTGTACAGTAGTCAAATAACATTCACAAAATAAATAGACTTTGAATACCATTAACAATCTCACACAACATTAACAACTTTTAGATTCAAATAGTAAAAAACGAGAATAAATAAATAGTTTATATATATCNTGTGCCAATTGATTTCTTTTTATAATTTTTATATATCATAATAATCAAGTAGTCTCAACTTTTTGGTTACCGTTATCCTATCTGCTTCATTGTAATATTTATACTTATTTAATTTTTTATATGAAGTTTAAGCTGCTCATTTATTTGAACGCTTTCAAAATGGCTAATAACGAGCCTAATAGTTATTTTAACAATTAGACCTTTCTGAGGGACGTATTGTGTTGTCCCAGAGCCGTTACAAACTTTTTAAACGATGGAAGAACTGCGAGTCTCAGTTAGAGACTCTGTAAAAATAGTGATACGCCCTTGACCGCACATTCGCTGCATCCTGGAACGAGATAATAGCTTAGAATTGTCAAATTGCCATCTCAGCACGTTCTTAACACGTTTCAAAGCATTCACAGCCTGCAACGCAATGCATAATGACCTTACTCCCCTGGTTTCCGTGATCATATTTATATTTATTATTTACTAGCTGTATAATGTTTGATATCAATGATTGTATTTAGCCACCATAATAGATATTTACATACTTAAAATTATTTTTGTTTAGGATTACATTGTAATTACTGTTGTATTCAGCGTTAAATTCATTGTAGTTTTTGGTGTTTCCAGTTGGCACACAAACAACAATCCCCCAACCTGGACCATGCAACATAAAATTGTCTATGAGAACACCATGGATTCTCCAAATTCAATCCACATAACAGAAATGATTGTCCTTGCAAATCTTCATCATTACTGCAAAAGCCATTTTAATTGGAAATTGCAATCATTTGAATTAGAAAGGCACTTATGTTGGTATCAGTGGTATATGGTGTATTAGCACACCCTCTTCTTTGAATTTTAGTAAGAATATTAATATTATTCTACGAACAATATGTTGTCGTTTTGGTAGCATTTTAGTCAACAGCAAAATTCAATTCTACAACAGATCAAAAAGTCAGAATGTAAGATTAAACATAATTTGTACTACAGCAAAATCATCACAATTAATACTGAACAGTAAAAAACTGACACTACTAAGATAATTCACTTACTTCATCTGCATTTATAAGAGTACCTGATTGTTGATTTATATAGACTCAAATCCGCAGTTATTTATGCATAAACACACACGTATGTTGAGTTGAACCCATCACGTCTTGCTGTCCACCAGCAATCTGATGGTTTCGCATAGTCGAACGGTCGTCGATCAAGCCACAAGCAGGCAGTTCGCTCTCCTACCAACACCCCTGCTGCCTACAGGAAAAATACAACGGTGAAGTTTGTATCTTCCCATCAGCGAAACCAATTCTGCAGTTTTTGCGACGATATGGTATCAATAGTTTTGCAACTATAACCAATTCAGTAATTTTTGCGACTATAGACTGTTAGCGTAGTTTTTGCATCTATTGGCTGTTAATTCCTCCAAATCGGAATTTGAAAGACGTGGAAAACCCGTAACATACTGGGAGCAGAAGGCCCCTTTGGACAGCTGACAGCTGAGAAAACACAGTGAAAGTGTAAGTCACAAATTCTTGACATCTCTTTTGTTTTTTTGTAAATCCTGACGCCCATTATTTATATGACCATTTTATATTCTCTAAACCCCCTCGGCATTAATAAAAACAAAGTGTAAAAGTTTCATCGAAATCTGTTCAGTAGTTATAGTTTTTATCATTAACATACATATTATATTTAATATAACATATATAATAATAATAACATATTATAAATATATATGTATTATATTATATGTACGTTAATGTTATTATTATATATGTTATGTATTACAGTTTATTTGTTATTATATATATTATGTTATATACATTATATATTAGCTGGAATGTATTAATCTCATTGAGATTTCTACAAGAACAACTGCATGTATTCACTTTTTGACCAATGGATAAGTGTGCACTTATATAAGTAAGTAAAACTTAAAAAAAAGTAAAGTAAAGAAGTAAAGAAAATCCTGTTATACAAGGGACTTGACGTCCACCTGCCCTATATGTGTCGCGGACAATGGTTCAAACCACTTTACAGCATATATTTCGTACTGTTCTCGATTGATAGGGAATAATTCAGTAATGTTAACTATTACAAACGACAAAAACTGTAACTATGTAGTCAGTTTATGTGAAAAAATGTGCATTTCCAGGAGTCGGGTGATGGCCACTCAGTCGGGTCATAAATAATTCATACATACGTACAACCTTTATCAAAATAGGACTTCCGTTTTTGAGTTTGTGATAACCAAGAAGTCTAGAGTGTACAATTGTTTCAGTAAGGGCCTACTGCACATATCCTTCCTGATTAAAATTACAATAGGCGATATTGGTTTTTGTGTGGCTTGTCTTTCTTTTTAATAATTAGAATTGTAAATTCGGTATTTCTTTTTAATAATTTCAGTTCGTAAAGACTTTTGCTGAAACCTGTGAGTTATGCAAGTAATGCTAAAAGAAAATTGTTCCTTGTATTTTCTCAGAACAAAATTTTGTTGTGGCTTGTTGATACCAAGATGATCAGGCAGTGTGAATTATTTTCTAAGAAAAAATTCCTATAATTGCAACATGGCTGGTCGAAATTTTAATTACAAAAACTTTATGTATTATTTCAAGACCAGAACGGACGCTGATGAAATTTTCATTTTCATTTTGAAGGAATAACTGTGAGGCCTTTATAGGCGCTAATAGCTATGCGATGGAACGGAAACGTGTAGTATTTCATTTACATATTAATCAGATGAAAAACTCAAATCGAACTGGAGCTGTAATTATTCGTGTTGGGACACATGTGTAACAATCCAGTTGGGAAATTACACATATTTGATTCGTTACAGAATCCCTCGACGACCCTCTGACAAGAGATGTGCTCACTGGATAACTCAAATAAACACGCCCAAGTTAGAAACTTGAGAATGATAGTTGAGATTTTTGTTTTGTTTTTCGTTGAACTTAGGAAGATTTTTTTATTTTCACCTCGTAAAATGTCTCATAACTAATTTTAACATATTAGCATTTGTTAAAAAAACAACTACAACGCAACAAGCCTATTATTTGATCGTTTCCAATCTTGTGTTGTCACGCTTTCGTGAAACAAAATCAAACATAGACATGTGCCCGAACATTCTTACCTATGGGCTCTCAGACAAAACAAAAATTTATTAATATAGCTAATTGAAGTATTTTCATATGTTATTCTGCCTTTGTATCAATATGATTTCCATGTTAAATAATAGTAACACGGTTCCAAATTTGATTTCAATATCTACGGTATTCATGCTATGGTTAGATGCCAAATAAAATTTAGACAAAGTGAGCAAGTGACTTTGATAAAAACAAGTGAGACATAGTGACTTTGATAAGACAATCAAAGTATATTTTACCAAAAAACAAAGTGATATTCATTTTTCGTAAAATCAATTACCGCTACACACAAATTTTTGGGGAAAATCAAAAAATATTTATCTCTCAAACTTTTATTATTTCCATTCCGCCGAATTTTTAAAATCATAAATGTGTGGTGTTTATTGACCGTTATTTGGTGATTATTTCGAGTTCGTGGATGCGGTCTGGTAGCTTTTAAAAAACATTTTCTTTATCGTGCCAACGTTTCGATCTTTATTGAGATCATA